TGCCACAGGCTCTCATGAATCAACAAGATTGTGCAACACAACATATGTAGTGTTAGCATACACTGGTAGAAAACGTCATGTTTGCGATGCCAGCTGCGATGCCATTTTGACACAAATTGATGCCGTCACGGTGAGTGCGATGGCTTAAAACCGGATGGCATCGATGGCATGGCTGCTGCTGGTGATACCCAATGTCGATTGCATTAGATGTTCCATTTTATGGAATTTGAATGCTGTGGGTGACGCCTCATGGTGGCCACCGAATCTCGGGGTGCATCGGTTGTGCCAATGGATGACTCTGGATTCCTGCGGCATACGCCACATGCACCGCAAGGCATGACCCAAGTAGGTCACCACTGCTGCTAAAGATAAAGCCTCTCTGAAAGCAGGCTGGGAGCCACTGGCTGTGAGCCCTAGGATCAAGAGGCAAAAGCGGTTAGACGATGTCATATTGTGTATTTGGAATCTGGGCGCTGCTGATAGGTTCCCCATACCTGGTAATTGAAAAGCCAATTTGAGTGATCCCCAGGCCCAAGGCGACAACCTGTGTGGGCAAGCAGGGCTATCTTCACAAGTTATGTCCTTGAGGGCCATCTGAACTATGGCCAGAATACTAACAGGGGCTGTGCAGCAAAGACGATTCGTTCGACGGCGTCGATGCCCGTCATTGCGAAGCAATTGCCGAGGGCGAAGTGGGTGCTGTGTCGCTCGGTTCTCGAGGGTGCGTAGAACTGACCATTGCCGGGGATATCGTCATGTAACCTAGGTGTGTCGCCGAGCCGAAGAAATGCGTAAAAATGTCTGCAAGTACGGTGATTTCTCTATTCATGCGTATTTGCGCGTAAAACAGTAAACGCATGAAAGGTAGCGTAAACGCAAGTAACAAGCCTGAATGCGACCTTGAAACCTCACATGACGATTCTCGTCAATCCGATTTGGACCCGTGGGACAATTGTGTGGGTAGGATTGGCAGGCGGCAAGGCACAGTTTTGGACCACGAGTTGAGTTCAGAAACTTTCGAAGCGCGTTGAAGGGAGGGAATGAAGGAAGAAACCAAGCAGGTGATGCTTCAGCGATTTCGGCGGGGTGCAAAATGAGATTCTGGAGGCGATTGCAATCCACGGGAACCTGCTTGAACGCAATCAACTGAGGGGTTATGGTAGGTGGTGGGCTTCTCGTATGCTCAACGATCTGGGTACATCTTCGTTCGAGTCAGGGCCATTTTGGGTCTCTTGCGTGCCTGTGCGTGTTTTGCCCCAACTGTGTTTCTCGACCTCCATGCTGTCCTGCGCGTCCAGTGGTTGCCACTCATCACCACACCCACTCACCCATCCAGATACTTTGCATCGATTTGACGTGAAGGATATAAGCCCAACAGGGTGGCATCTCTCACAGGTAAGCAGTATGTGATAAGCACAGTACGGGCGGTACTCAACCTCGAAGCTGGATCTGTCAACTACCTATGCTCTCTCATGATCAAAGGCGAAAACAGCACTCATTGGTGGGTAACCTGACATCTGTATGGAAACTCCAAAATACCGCCATGGGTACCCATGCACCGGTGCTTGCCTATGGAGGCGCTATGTGCCACTAAGTATGAAAGAAGCACCACAACAAAGAAGTAACTGTAGAAGAGGGCAAAGCACAAAAAAACGAAAATTCATTCCACAATTTGGACAATTTGCCGAGGCTCCAGGATGAACTGCTGCATCAATCTGGACCGTTTGTTGATCCTGCAGTGCCTCAGGTTTTCCTAGAAATGCCTAACCACAACATTCGAAGTCTGATTGCACTGGCCTGTGAATGTCAGATCAGCGATTAGATTCCGGGTGTCGTTATGGAATTGAGAAGCTGCGATGGAATTTCTCGACATGACGGCACTTGAGTTAGCACTTGACGGTACCAATGGCCATGTACCTGTAGCCAGGACAGAAGGAGTAATTCGCAGTTTGGAGTATGTTTTGCTTGATGCTGTGCATTTCTATTACGATTTTTGCCTACTTGTCTTTAATTGAATGAGCTTTGTGTGATGCAAACACCTGTGGTTTCGTCCAAATTGCTTTCATATTAGGGATGAAAGTTGTCGAATGGGAAATTTTGGACGTCAGGGTTGAATTTTATGTTTTTGGTTGATAATGAACTGTCATGGACTTCAATGCGAAGTTGTGCATCAGTTGAATGCTTTCCGTACGCACACGTTTTCTGTGTCCTTTGTAAGCCGCGTCTGATTAGTCGTTGAGGAAAGCGCTGCGTGGGTGACGGAGGTGGCTGTAGATGCGCTTCGGCGTCACTCCATATCCCCCGAATATTTTAGGGCACCCCTGGGGGGGAGGGAATTGGGCGCCACGATTCCCTCCCCGATGTATGCCACGCCGGCGTGGCACACTGTCGGTGTCTGGCGCTGCACTAGTCTTGCGAACGTTGGATACTCCTTGTAGGGAGTGCTTAGAAATGACTGCCCTGTTAAACCCGTCAACCATTTAAACATCTCGAGGAGCTGAATTGATACCCGCGAGCTGGGATCGTAAACTTTAGGTTGTGTATCCCGACTACCAAAGTCATGGTGGTCGCGCTGCGTATAAGTCGCACAGCGGCTGGCCCAAAGCCAGTTCCGCGGGGGGAGGTAAAGTGAACGGCAATTCCAGCAATGTGGCACGAGGCGCCTTCGACCCAGCTTCATTTCCCAGCGCTCGCCCAGCTGCCAACCCCGATCCCACGTCCGACTTTCACCGGGCGGGACACGTGGTCAGTATCTGGGTAGCTACGGTCCTTTCGGGCAATCCTTGTCCTGAAGCTGTGCAGATGGGCACACCGTTATGCAAGCAGATCGACACCGCCGTTCTCCGAGGGCAGCGTTCACGGCGAACAGCCCTCTTTGCTCTCGCCGGCGCCTAAAACCGCGAGCCAGCGCTGCCCTCGCTCCCCGCGGCGCTCCCTATTGGACCCAGGCCTGTACATTGCGTTCCATTGACAGTGTGGATCGATCTGGCCTTCCCGTGAGCCCCTGCCGATTGGGGAAGCGGTTGGCACGTGCACGTCAATAAACCTCAGGACTGGACGGCGGCGGCGTCGAAGGGGTCCAATCTGCGGAGCTCGAGACGCTGACTTGGTGCAAAGTTCAAACAGGCTCTCGAGGAGGTCCATTGGCACTGTCAGGAAGGCGAGCAAGGGTGAGCCGGGCCTCAGCCATCTGGACATTTGGCCCCGTGGCCTGTCTGTATGATCGCTGTCGCTGTGGGTCACAGCCTGTGCCGCTGCGGCGTGCTGGCCAGCGCCTTTGGCTGCCCACGTGCGTGGGCCGCACCTGGGTCTAGACCCAGCCCCAGATCTAGGGCTCAAACCCCACAGCGCGGCGTTTGCGGGAGATCCAGGCAGGCAGGGATATCCATGGAGATCCAGGCAAGCATCTATGCCTCGCGAGGGGTCGGGCGATCGGCGGTGACAAACGCGTTCTCGGAAACCGCGTGAGGGTGCAACGTTGCAGCGGCGCGCGGGCCAGAGAATGGGAATTTGATGTCCAGGTTCCGAGTCGGACGCCGGGACGCACGGCAGCCAGGTGGTCGCCGGACGGGATGGGCACGCCAGGGGCGTTTGCGTTCGTGTTGCTGCGAATTCAGGCGCTGGCGGTGGTGCTGTCGTCCTGGCACCCTCTCCTCCCTCCTCCGCTCGGGCGCACCCACGAAGACGCTCCCTTTTCGCCTTGTGGCAGCACTCCGTTCGTGCCCCCGAGTCGCTTGCGTGGTGGGCCCAATGGATGCTCTAGATGCTCGGGAATGGGATCTCATCATCGTTCATACAGTTTTACACAACAAAGCAAGGAGGTAGCTGTCAGGTTCCCATTTTGCCCGAGCAAAGCTGTGTCCATGTCAGTGATCAGTTCATGAACTGGAATGGGATATCACTAGGTCGGTGCCGAGGGCCGAGGAAGCCTCATTGTCGACATTGCTCCGCATTGTATGCGCAGCCATTTGTGGGACGTTCGCCGGCGGTTGCAGTGCCAGCGGTCGTGGACGATGTTTGGCGATGGCAGCAATCTGCCCCTCCTTCTGGTCAGAGGCTTCGCCGTCCAGGGCAAAGCTGCATTGGAATACACTGATCGCTACACGCCTTGCAGTCACCGAGCGTGCACAACAAATATGCGGCCTTAGCGACGTCCTTTGTGTGGGGGATGGCGTGCTGGGTCTGGCCATCCAATCACTTGCCAATTCGTTCGCTGATTCCCCAGTCTGAAAGGGATGCTGTACTCCAAACCCCAAAACACAAACAACTGAAAGTACTGTGAGGGATGGTGGGAATGGGGTGGGTGGAGGATGGGGGAAATATGCCATAGTAGGCGAACCATCTACATTTACCAAGACTCACCAAGGCAAGACTATGGTGGGGCCCAGAATGGCCCTATCCACAGTATGCACAATGGCACTAATTCTAGTATCACAATGATCATAGTTTTGCTACTTGTACCTAATCTGCACAACATTGGCGCAGCGATGCTGGTTGCGATGTCGCGAATACCTGTGCTCAGCACCAACCCAACATAAGCGGCTCATAGCCTCACCCGAAAGCTGCAACCCAATCGACCAGATTGACATCGGACGTCCCAGTGACTTGGTTTGTGATTAGGCTTGCAACATACCAAGGCAGAATGTAGGCCTTTAAGACAATGCTCACAATGAGACAGCACATGGCAGGGGCTGAATGCCCTTGCTGCCTCATCACGTTCATTGCATCCACTTGTGACCCTGTATCAAATTTCGATTTCTGTGTCGTTGAATTGACAATAGCCTTCGCTCTGGGTCCCAACATCGGCAGGGAAGGAGGGTCCCAGCCTGTTGGTGAAAGCTTATTGATATTTTCGGACTCGCTAATCAGCCCTTGCCATGGTTGCTGTCCTTGTTGCTAAAACAGTAGCCATCACCGAATTGGTGCTTGTCAATTCATTTCCATGCATTTAACTGACTGTTTGGTTGTATTGGTTTTGTAGGCGCTGCCTTACAAAGAAGATGTACTGCAAGGGAAACATAATTCAACAGGTCAGACCCATCAGATTTTGATTTTTTGCTGGTATTTGTTTGCATTTACATCCAATACACACACCAAAAAGATGCATGTGTATGCATGCATGGAATCTGTCAACCATCACTAAGATGCACTTTGTTGTCATTGCCTGGAGAGTTGTATGTCGAAATTGAACCAGATGGCGTTGTCATTATCAATAGCACAACAACCGTAGGTGACAGTGTTGTTTATTGGTCCAGTGCCCTTGAAGTACCTGTATTCTTTCTTCAGACATTTCTGAACTGAAGGCGAATGTATGAGGCAGAAATTACACCAAAGCGGCAAGCATTAAAAATGAAGGGATGCAGGGAACTCAATAGTCGACGGGAAAGCTGGAAATTTGGTTAATTGTGAAACAAATGTGATTCAAAAGTGTTGCATTGCATTGGTGAGATGTAGTCAACTAACAACAGCATGAATGATAGGAAATTGGAATACTGTAGACCACGTATTTACAGATGCTGCAGCGACGTTGAATTAACACAATAGTACTCGAAATGATGTTTGGCCTTGATATAGTTAAAATCATCGAAGCGGCACTCACATTTCCATTGCACGTGCGTCTTGTGTTTACGGGAAGATGAACGGAGGTGCGGATGTGTGCTCTTTTTAGGATGAAGAGCCAGCATCGTACTGGGGCGATCTGCCATTTCCAATCCTGGACACAGTGAAATTGATACTGGAAAGGACAGTGGACAACACAGACGAAGTGTCCAAGACAGCACGGCTTGTGAACAAACACTGGAAGGCATGGGCCACAGGTAGCCTCGCACTTCTGAGGATCCAAGGAGATGAGCCCATGCAGTACCTTTCCACTGTCATCAATGAGGCATTTCCAATGGTGCAGGGACTGAGCTTTGAAAACTACCGGGGAAACGTCACGGCCCTGGACACCTTGTGCAACTTGCGGTACTTGGATTTTGGTGGCTACCCCCTCCGGGATAGACATTTGGAAAACGTGGGAGAGTTGACAGGTCTGACGCGTCTAGACATGTCCGAGCGCGAAGGATCCGTGGATCCCCATTTCTACCATCTGTACAGCGTCACGAACAATGGTCTTCAGCACGTTGCAAAGTTGAGAACGCTCAGGCACTTGGGTATGTGCCATTTCAAACAGATATCCGACGAAGTCCTGGCGTCTTTGGCGAGTTTGGTTGAGCTCCAGTACTTGGACATTTCTCATTGCACGAGCATCACAGACGCTGGGCTCGAGCACGTGACGGCGCTTGCCAAACTCACGCACCTGGCGCTGTTGGGGTGCCCTCACGTGTCTGATGTCGGCTTGGGTCACATAGGAAAACTGTCCAAGCTCACACACTTGGATTTGCGGCATTGTGCACAAATCTCTGATTCTGGCTTGGGCGGGGTGGGATGTTTGACGCATTTGAAATGCTTGAGGCTCTCTAACTGTGTCTTGATTACCAGCAGAGCCTTGACGCATGTGCGGGAACTCGTGGGTATGACCACGCTTGACTTGAGTTCATGTAGAAATATTTCCGATCTCGGCCTGAAGGACATCGGGAGTTTGATTGAGCTTTCCAGTTTGGATTTGCAGTCATGCTGCGAAGTTTCTGATGAAGGCTTGGAAAATTTAGCGAAATTGTCTGCTCTCACTCACCTGAATATTTTGGGTTGCACACGTGTCTCTGATGTCGGACTGGCCATTGCCCGGAGGCTGACGAAGTTGCAGTGCTTGAAGATGTCCCATTGCCCCCAAGCCACGGATTCGGGATTGGAGCACTTGAGAGACTTGCGGTCCTTGACATGGCTGGAGTTCAGCTCTTGTGAAAATATCTCTGATAGGGGGCTGAGCTACATTGCACAGTCGACTGCGCTTACCCATTTGGATATTAGCTCATCTCCAGGAATGTCCGATGTGGGCTTGAAACACTTGAGCAAGCTGACTCGCCTAACCCACTTGAACATAGCGAGCTGCGGGGGCATCACAGACGCTGGATTGAAGTGTGTGAGACATTTTCATGGCTTGCAGCACCTGGATTTGCGCAACCTTGACAGAATCACAGACAGGGGATTGGCGGGTCTGGCGCACCTGAAATTGACTCCACAACAGTTGAAGTTACACTATTGCCAGAACATTACCCATGGTGGTGTGCGGCGATTTTGGGCGTGCCGCGGTGTTGGTCACGATATGTCCAAGGCGCCATCGTATCGTAGGCATCGATTTTGAGGTGGGTTGTGAAATCCGAGGAAAAGGACTTCCCAAGTGTGCACCGCTTGGGACGCGAAGGGGAAGGCTCGCGCCACTACGGATCGAAAAGTCGGTGAACGTGTGATTCTTCCGCTAGGAGGTGTAGGATGCAAGGAGCTAATTGATGTGGTGGGAGGGTGGACGTAGATTGAGGAAGTGGTGAGGCGAGGCATGTTGTCACTGTGGGATTTGTAATGCAAGCATGGCGAAGGGAGCAAGCCACATCAGACATTGGCACAAACTGACCAGGTGTCGTGGCGGGGAACGATATTGTTGCCCACCTTGCAGGGAACAGTGAATCTGTGTAGACAGTGGAAAAGGTAGAAAGACGATCAGCTCCTGCGTGCGAAAATTTCAACAATGGAATATGTCTTCCTCGTGAGAGGTGCAGCAAATGAACAGTTATATGCCATTCGAACTGCCGTTCGCCCGTGCACTGCCAATATATTATACATGAAGGCGGAAACTTTTCTGCGAATGGTTTGCACCACTGAACTAGATGAACAACGGCCCAGTTTGCAGACAAAAGAAAACTCGCTTGAATCGCAATGGACACCATTTGGACACCACAGCACCACGGAACTGCCGCAATCCAGAATAGACCCCAACTCAAGCACTCGCTGGGATCTGGGATCGGGACCACGAGCATTGCGTCACCCTGACTGGATTTCCGGTTGCGGCCCTCTCGCCAATTGCCCCCACTGAAATCCAACTACAGACAACCTCACTCACTGGCACACGCGCCACAGCGGCACTCCAACGACAAACGCCCCAGTTCCCCCACTCTTGTCGCGCACCAACGGCGCCCCGCTGTCCCCAGCGCTCCTGTGTGCGCACACCAGCGTCCCCCAGAATCTCCTCTCACTTAGTCACCGACATGCAGCACACCGAGCAGCCACACATCGGCCGCCGAACGCCGTCGAGTTAGGCGCACCGGACGCAGCCATCCGGCACGCGCCCCTCCACCAGTCATTCGACGAGCTCGTGTGCTTTGGGGCCCAATCCCTCAGCCAGCGCCTGCCCCGCGGCTACTGCAGGGGAGAAGCTCACCCCTGCCAACACACTCGACCGCCCGCACGCCTCCGCCACCTCCTCGTTATTCTCAAACTCCGCCGCCACCCGCTTCGGACAGCACGCTGGCGAAGGCATCCGGGACCACAAACCCGCTGGGGTAGTCGATCACGAGTGCGGGCATTTCCACCCCAAGCTCCTCCAAGAAGAGTCGATTCTGCTCGGCGATGGCCGTGCGTTCCGCGGCGGACGCGACGGGTACTCTGAGTATGGCTCGGTGTGAAAGAACGGCTGCCGCTCCTCACCGGCCACCTCCACGGGCCCCCCCTCCTCCACCCACACATTGACTCTCTGCCCGGCAAGGCGGCCGGCTATGATGGTCGTCAGCCGCGCAGCGTCATGGTCGGCCTTCTTCTTCCATGCCAGTAGGGCAGCGTCGTGCGCGGCCAGAAGTTCTCCCAAATCCAGACGCAAAAGGATGTGGTAGTCGTCGAACGTCCAGTTAAGGGCGGCGAAGGCCTGGCCTATGAACGCCACCAGGAACAAGTCCTTGTACTCGAACCAGTGGGCCTGGAACCTCTACTTGGCCGTCAGGTTGGCGTTCACCTCCAAGACTTCTGAATCAGCGAGTCCACGAGTTCGGCGTCTTCGCCCGTGAGGGTCGTCACGTTGACGTCCTTGTAGGGCGGCGGCGCCCGGCGACCCCGGAATTCTTTGGGCGACAAAACCAGGGGGTTGACCTGGCCCAGGAAGGGCACGTCGTGGCTCTCCACGTAATAACGCCCGTTGCCCAGGTGCTGCCTCATTGGTTGCCACCTCAGGGGATGCTTCAACTCGAACGCGGAGTTCACAGGCTGGTGGCCCGAGTAGTCCTCGAACGGCTGCTTGAAATGCTCCCTGGTTATGTCCCCCAGCGAGTTCCAGCCATCCGACGCTAAAAACTGCGCTATCTGTGTGCTGATCGCGTGCCCAGCTCCCGCGCCGGTTGACTTGTTGGTTGACCGGTCAGTGGGGTCGTACCCAGTGGCCGCCACCACCTTCGCGTACAGCCCAAAGGGCACCGGAAACTCAAGCTCGATCGCCCTCAGCGCCTCGTAGGCCTACGCTCCCGCCCTGGCTGTGAAGCTAGTGCACACCTCTTCGGAAAATTACTCCCTCTCGCCCATATGTTCAGGGCCACGCCGCTGCGGTCGCAGCCGCGGAGAAGAAGTTGAAGTTGGCGACGGTGAGCATGAGGGCGTGGCGGATGAACACCGCTGTTTCGGCGGTGATTACGGATGTCGGGAACAGGGCGCTGGCGGCGGGATCATGCGGAGCGAAGAAGTTGACAGGAGACCCGCGGGGTTCTTGTCCAGGGCCGCGGCGTCGTGACCCGCGGCTCCCTGACCCATGGCGGCGCCCGCCAGAAACATCACGGCGAAAATGGCGGGATTTGGCATCTTGGCCAAGGGAAGGGGTGGGCGTTGGGCTCCCCGTGGAGGAGGCGTTGTTGTGGGAGGCTGTGGCAGCGGGGTGGCGGGAAGGGGGAGGGCGGTCCACGGGATGCAAGGAAAAGGGACGTCGAGCGCGGTCGTCGCGAGGCGGTCGGGTGTGAGGCCGGGTGAGTAAGGTGTGAGTTTAGGATCTGATGAGATCGGGCGGCGGTGAGTCAACGCGGTTCCGTGTACCAGGTTGTTGGCAACGAATACCAATAACGGATGCATTGAATTATTCGAACGCTATTGGTGGCCGATGCCAATTGACATCGGCCAATCAGCAGATCCATCCGACATGCCAATTAACAATGCATCCATAGACCGTGTAGGTCACACTCGTTTCAGGTGCCCAAGAGGTCTCGTTGCTTCCGGCCACATCTCTCATTGAATCACCCAAGGATCATCAGTGAAATCCTCTTGAGGAGAGAATCATAGGGGAACCCGCTCTGAGACAAGCAACACATACTTCAAAGTCACATTAACATATTGTAACACCTTTGGACAACTTGGGCTTGCTTGGGGATTCTCTTGGTTGGTCTTGGAGCGAACAGGTCCAGTTAACTGCAGAAACTACATTTCAGTTGACCAGCCGAACCACACCGTGGATGTTGCCGATGACCGTCACTGAGTCCGGCGTGCACGAGGGTCCATGAAGACCTTGAGCTCGGTTCTGGCACGCTGATCAAAACAGCTTATTTCGCAAACAAACTCGGTGGAGAGCTTGTGATCTGTTTCAAAGCTCCCAAATATGTGAACAAGAACCGCTCAGCCTCAACCAAACAGTGCAGAAAATGGTATTTGATCACTGCTGTGCAATTTCGTGTGACATTCCAGCATTCGGCTGCCATTTTCAAAGAGATGAGCATCACTTCCGTGGATGCCAAGGGTGCGGCGCTCTTTTTGTGCGTTCAAAGGGAGCGCCGCCCAAATGACTTTCCTCTTGAATATTTTCGGAGCGGATTCAATCTTTAAACGTGAGCGAAGGCCATCACTCCCCTTCTAAATTCCCATTCTGAGCCACATCCCCAATACGGTTGCTTCCTTTGGATTCTTGCAATTTCTTCTTTCTTTTCATCGATTTTGCCTACAGATTCAAATTTCCAGGTACATCTGCAGGCCGACATACGTGTGTCGGCAACCGCATCAGCCGCCTCAATCCAATCTGGAACTCTCAATCGCCTATCCCGTCCACGTGGTCAACATGATTCTGGAGACGATTTACATTTTCTTTCATTCCCTTCCCAGCGGTTGCTTACGACGATGGAGTCCGAAAGCAATAGTTACATAAGTTCCATATTTCGTTTGCTTCTGTGTACACTTGGCTCTATCCAGAGACGCTTCTTGTAGCGCATATCGTAAATATTTTGGTTAGGAGAAAAGACAATGACTGGATTCTGATTCCGATTCTAAATCTGGATTTCGTTCCGCACGGTTTTGAAATTGCGTTGAACATCATGAACGCAAATGCATCCCAGAACACCTTCACAAATTTAACATAACCATAATATGGGCGAATATTATACCTTGAATTTCGAAACTCCAATTCATTAGCTCCTCTCAGGACGTGTCAATCATGATATACAACGATCTCTCTCTTTTCCCTTCTATGCTCTGCAAGCATGATTAGAGTCATCCTAAGATCTCTACGTACCCCATCCCTCTGCTTCTGGATTCCGAATTACATTGTCACACTTTCACTTCATTTGATCGAACAATCCACTCGCTCTTTTTGCGTTCCCATTCACATCGAGCTTTTTCCATTTCCTCAATTCTCCTGCAGTACAAAAACGGTGGCATGTCAGATAGACACCGTTAGTCGCTCTGCTAGTGGCAGTTGCCAGCGAGAACGTCACACGGGAACGCAATATTCGATGACAACTCTGCATGAACATGAAAATTTGCTGAACGAGAAGTTGCAAACTGTAGTATTACATCGACTTAATGGGATTCCTAGAGTCATCGGATCGAATCATTAAGCATTTTATCAACTGATCGAGTAATGCATGGTACTTTGAAACAACATAGTTTCAAGAAATATATTTCTTGCATCGTTGATAGAATATTGTGAACCGTACCTAACTGACTGAATGTCAATAGGGCGTCTGTGAGAGCAAACCCACCTATAATGGCCTTGATTGCATTGAATCAATGATTTATAAATAACTGGTTGAGCTGAATTTAACTCACTTACCCAATGGGAAGGGGAGGGGGGAAGGGTGCACCATCCTCCATGTATACGCACGTACGCCCCTTCACGTACGGAGGAAGGTGAACTTCATAATACAACGAACTGCCATGTACAGAGGCGCGCTCCCAGCCTTGGACAGTGCAAATGCCCTCACCTCAGTATTTTTCTGTTCATTAGCGAAGTTGCCAAAACATCATCACATTGAGGAACCCCCTGCTTTGTGATCCGCTTTGCGAATGTGCGTTCTCCACTCTGTTTGACATCCAACCTCGCCGGTGGACGCCTCTTGCCCAAGGCGTTTAAGA